AAGTCCAAATATTTAAAATCATTATGTGTCTTGAAATTTAAATAATGTATGTATTGTATTGAATAGAAAAAGGATCCCATATTCCAGAAGCAACTCCAAAGTACTCAGAAACAAATGCAATTATTGGTAAGTAAAAATTATTCTGGTTTTTGCTATATTTTTATTCCCAAGCTAGCCAGTGCCTAATGGAGTTTCAAAGTAACCATGATTTGAAACTAGTTTTAAAATGCGCCCATGATCTATCTGTTTGATCATTGTATGTTTGAATGACATCACATTTGTACTATTTTTCCTCAAAGATAACAACACCACCTACACATAAATATATATACATAGATACATATGTACATATACATAGATGTATAGAAAAAATAATATAATTCTTTACACTCATTTGATATAAATGGTAACCTACAAAAAAGCCAAACAATCAAGCAGACCACAACCTCCCTCCATACATCCCTCCCCATAATCCGGGAAGCGCATAGAAACAATTTATCTTCCCCAAGGGAACTAGATGTTTTTATTTACACTTTGTTTAGCCAGACAGCCAATTTTGGGTATTCCCAAAGACTCAGGTACTATTTTTAGTGTGTTTTTGCGGTATGTGAGAGAGGCAAGTATTGTTTTAAGGTGGTGGCTGCGAGAACATAATCTTTTAGTGATTTTTTTATATGTTGATACAAAAACACTTTAAAAATAAGAAGTAGACAATACATTCATTGTTCTGAATAATTATGAATATTCTGCTCTAAATCTTGTAGGTGAAGCTTCTACTTGGGGCAAAGGAGCATATAAAGCTTTCAACGGCCGCATCTTTTCCTTTGAGTCTTCATGCACGTACACTTTCTGCCGTCACTGTGTTGAATCTGGAGGAGATTTCAATATTGAGATCAAACGAAACGATGACAGTGAGATTGAAAAAATAATGGTTATAATTGACAATAATTACATCTCTATTTTTGGTGATACTGTTTTAGTTCATGGAGAAAGGTAAATGCCAAAGTGTTTTGGATAAATGCTATAGAACTATTTTAAGTAAACTGAGCCAAAAAAA